CGATATCTAATCCAGACTGGATCATGTATAGTATTAGTAGTGCTACTACTTCATGGCTTTATGATGAAACACAACACGAGCTGGAACTAGTCAGAACAAACAGCTGCCCAAAAAGTCAACACAGTCCTAGGCTGCATTGAGAGGGATAGAATCAAAATCACGTGAAGTGTTAATACCACTTTATAATGCCTTGGTGGGACCATATTTGAAATATTGCATCCAGTTTTGGTCTCACCACTATGTAAAAAAAGATGTTGATAATCTAGAGAAGAGCAACAAAGATGATTAGTAGACTGGAACCTAAAACATAGAAAGAATGGTTGCTGGAACTGGGTATGTCTATTTTGATGAAAAGAAGGACTAGGGGAGACATGATTGGTATTGGTATTTTATTATTTGTATGCCGCCCTTCTCCGGGAGGACTCAGGGCGGCGAACAATTCAAAGGGGAAAAAAAAGGGGAACATAAAAGACAAAATACACATAATAAAATGATAGCAATATTCCAATATCTCAGGGGTTGCTACAAAGAAGAGGGAGTCAAACTATTCTCCAAAGCACCTGAAGGCAGGACAAGAAGCAATGGGTGGCAACTAATCAAGGAAACAACTTAAAACTAAAGAGAAATTTCCTGACACTTAGAACAATTAACCCAGGGCTCCCCAAACTTTGCAACTTTAAGACTTGTGGACTTCAACTCCCAGAATTCTCCAGCCAGATGCTGGTTGGAGAATTCTGGGAGTTGAAGTCCACAAGCCTTAAAGTTGCAAAGTTTGAAGATTTCTGAATTAATCAGCGGAATGTCTTGGATTCAGAAGTTGTGGGTGCTCTTTGTCACTGAAGATTTTGAAGAAGATGGACAGCCACTTGTTTGAAATGGGTTCAGGGTTTTCTGCCTGAGCAGGGGGTTGGACTAGAAAATCTCCAAGGTCCCTTCTAACTCTGTTATCCGAATTCTAATCCTACGCTGAGCTCCCCCCACCTTTTCGCCTTTGTCTCAAAGCCTTCCATCCCCACGACCGGAAGCGGAACCGGCGGAGCTTCAACCCCCGGAAACAGAAGCGGCCGTGTTTCCATGGCGGCAGCGGCCGTAGTTGCGGCGGCTCCCGCGCTCTGGCGGCGGTTGCTGGATTGTTTGCCCCGCGGGAGGCCGTCTCTGGCGGCCTTTTTGGGCAGGCTCTCGGATCGTCTGAGCCGAGGCCGCGAAGGCAGCGCTCGCAGGTGAGGAGGAAGACGAGCGGCTAAAAGCCTGCGCGGGCGCCGCTGGATCTTCGCCTTTTTGCGCTCCGGGAAGTCTCCTTTCCGTCCGCTCATAATTCACCTGCATTCCCACTGGATGCAGTAAATCAGTGAGATGCCGTGGCTTGGGCCGAGTCGGGAGAAACCCACGTGGGGACCGATGCAGTTGGAAGTCTGCAATGGGCGCGCGTCCTCGAAGTGTGTGTAGGATTTGCAGCTTCTTTGATCTCTAATGTTGGGTTGCGCATCTGTTGTTGGTAGAAGCTGCAATTCTGTCCTTTTGGAGCATCCTGGATTGTTGGGTGGAGTTGATCTGAAGCAACCGTAGGCTGGCCTAAGAAGCGATTGTTTTATGTAAGAGGAGATAAAGGACTTGATTTCTAGACGGATTTGTTCAAGTTGCTTGCTTGGGTTCCATCGATCCAGGCTAGAAATAAGGAGGAATCCACTGACAGTTAGAACAATGAATCCGGTGGAGCGGTTTGCCTTTAGAGGTTATAGGTGTCTTCATCGTTGGATGCTTTTAACAAGAGATTGGACAGCCATTGGTCTAAAATGGTATAGGGCAGTGGTGAAATTCATTTTTTTAATGGCATGGTGGGCGTGGCATGGTGGGCGTGGCAGGGAAAGAATACTGTAAGTGTAAAATCTCCATTATTCCCTCCCCACTCTGGGGCCAGCCAGAGATGGCATTTGCCAGTTTTCCCAACTATTCAAAATTTCTGCTATCGGTTTTCCAAAACCTATCAGAACCTGCTGAATTTCACCCCTGATATAGGGTCTCCTACTTGAGCAGGCGTTTGGACTAGAAGACCTCCAAGGTCCCTTCCGACTCTGTTATTCTGATATATAAAGCCTACATTGGGGAGAGGGGTGGTGGTCTTACAATACGCTGAACCATAAACTGATTACCAAGACTGGTTTGCTTAATGTGCTGTGCTAAAATATGCCCAGTTTGTGCCGTTCTTGGCTGATTTTTTGTGGTCCTTCTCCAATAGGACCTTTGAAAATGGATGAGCTCATTTCCTTCATAATGGGGAGGGGAAGCACAAATTTAGTGTAAAGCCTACCATTAGAATTGCACAGGTAAAAAGAAAAACTGTCCAAACTTCTACAATGTCATCTGCATTTTTTAAAATTAGTTTCAGGTTTTCCTAAATGACTTGTACAACTTTAATTAGTTTGAAAGTTTTTTTCTCAGAAATATTTTATTTTGATTCTTTTAATTCTTTTACTAATTGATGTAAATTGGTCAAATTACTTATTAGTAATTTAGGTTCAGAATATAGTCACATTTTAATAAATAATACTTGCTATATCAATTTACTACAGTTCCAAACTTTAATATTCTTTTTTTAATATAAACTTTTTTATTTTTTGTTCTCTATATACAATTATAGGTATACATTCACATAGTTATTATTCTTTTTTTACATTCATGGTTCTTATACATTTGTCATTCCATTTCTAGAATTATAATATTCCATTTGGGTTGCTTTGTTTACCATCCCTCGCCTGTTTTGACACCACCTCTCCCTTTATTTTCTCCCTCCTTCCCTTCTCTACTTCCTTCCTTCCTCCTTTCCCTTCTTCCCTTACCTCTCCCCTCCTCCTCTCTTCCTCTTCCCCTTCTCTCTTTCTCTCCTTCTTCCATCTTCCTCTCCTCCTCTCTATCTTCCTTCCCTCCTCTTTAATAACTTTAAAACTTGAATATTCTGAGTGTGTCTCACCCTTACATGTTTCCAGGACTTCTGTTATGTCGAAACATTTTTATGAAAAGTTTCAATGTCTTCCTTTATATGAACTTGGGGAAAAGTATAACAAGAAGATGCCTGAAAGACATGAGGCTTTGCTACTTCCTCTAAGTCTCAAAGATAAACTTGGACATGCCATGAAAATTAAAAGGAAATCAAGTCCATTCTATTTTGCATTAAAGAAGCAAATCCTGGAAGCTTATAGCCAGATTAAGCAAACATAAGATTAATGTGCATTAGGAGCGTTGGTAGGTAAGGCAGGGAGGAAAAATTATTGTGACCTCCAAAATATATGCAAAAAAGCTTATTGGAGCAAACTGTAAAGGACATTAGAGAGTTGCTACATTGTACTGTATTAGGGAAGATGATAGGTTCCTAGACATGAGAATTGACAGCCACCTGGCAAACCAGGTCAAAAACATTGTAGGAGACACTGGGTCTGTCATCGATTTTAAAAAAACCCAAGAATTGCTTTGAAAAAAAAAGGAATGTCAGGGTTCCTTGATATGGGGTAGCTGTATGCAGAAGTGATGTTGTGTGAGGTGTGCTGATTTCCAGGTATCTATATACAGAACATGATGAAGAAGTCACCCAAATTACTCAAATCCACTAAAAACTACCTTATTATTTCTTTTTGGTTCATGTGCGGTCAATCAATCAACCAATCAATCAACCAACCAACCAACCAACCAACCAGAATAGAGCTGAAAGGGACCTTAGATGTTTTCTAGTTCGACCTCCTGTTCAAGCAGGAGACCCTATACCAGGGATGGCGAACCTATGGCACATGCTGGCCAGCTGAGTTCAACCTTTTTTAAAGTCATTTTTTGCCCTTCCCAGGCTCCAGAGGCTTTATAGGAGCCTGGGGAAGGCGAAAAGAGCTCCCCTCCCTCGAGGCCCTCCAGAGGCTTCAGGAGCTTCCCTGAAGCCTCCGGAGCACAAAAAAA